AATAACTTAAGGCTGCGCGGCCTCCCTGAAACTGAGGACTCCCCCCAACAGCTACAGGAAATCCTCCTGGAAATATTCAATGGGATCCTACGCCGTGACCACCAGGCACCTATAGACTTTGTTAGAGCTCATAGAGTCCTCCGTCCTAAGGGCACGCCAGATAGCCCACCCAGGGATGTCATTTGCTGCCTGGCGAATTTTGCCCTAAAGGAGACCATCCTTAAACAAGCACGAGGCCAGCAAACGCTCACCTACCGGAACCAAGACTTGCAACTCTTTCCAGATTTATCGCCGGCTACTCTGACCTACCGATGCGCTCTGAAACCACACACGAGGGTACTGGTGGCTCAACAGATCCGGTACAGATGGCAGATGCCCACGGGACTGCTTGTCCACACGCCGAAAGGTCCATTCCTGGTCCGCACACACAGCGACTACATAGCCCTGGGCACCGAGCTCCAACTGCCCACCATCAACATGAGATGGCCTGACCCATTAGACATATATACCACCGCAAGAAACCCCTATCCGAGACTGGCGCTGCCGCAACGCACTCGATGGGGACGCCAGGAGGCCACTAGGCCAACAGGTACCGCCCGCTAGAGGGCATGACTTTCCCCCCTCTTCCCCCACGCTATGCCCCGCACCAGCCTGGTCCTCTCTGGGGCACACACAGTCCCGCTACAGGACTTGGACACTGTATCCAGGTACAAACTTGGCCAACCTATCGATTGGACACCCCATATTGGCACTCTGCCCCTCCACCCCTCAGAACGGCACCCCTTGCCGGGCTGAGTGAACAGTTGCCGAGCCATACTCCACCTACAGCCATCCCGCTCAGAAGCTTCACCATGGACATAAGGGCCCTGTCTACCCCGCTGGGGTTGGGTGGGTTAGGGGCCGTGACCCAAGGGACTGTTGGCACCTACTGCGCTGGGCCTCGTGTGTCACACGCGCCTGCACATGCTGAAATGGCCCACTGCATTGTATTTAACTCGCATATGTGCCAGCGCATGCTAAAATTATTTACGGCATGGTATATCACGCGCATACCCGCACGCACAGGTTACAACCCTTTACGCTACAAACCACTGCATATGTGCTCGCACATACTAAAACTGCCCACTGCAGGGCATATAATATGGGCACCCACACATGCTTAAATTGCCTACTGCATTGCATTGACCGTTGTATACGTGCCTGCGCATGCTTAAATTGCTTCTTGGTCGGTATGTAACCATGCATACACGCCCGCGCATGCTCAAATTGTCCATTGCATTGTATATAACATGGTATTTCTTTGGAGCCATTATCTGGTCCCTTTATTTGTAGGATTCCTTCTGGACTTGCTCCCTTATTATCTTTACTTGCTTTATCTCTGTATAATATGGGGTATACGCCTGCTTACGCTAGAATTGCCTACTGTACCACTGTGGATATATGCCTGCGCCCGCTAACATTGCCTCTTGGTTCGTATATCACCCTATATACACATGGTATATGCTCCTACACATGCTAAACTTGTCTACTATTTATACCACGAGTTATGCACTTGCGCAAGTTCAAAATGTCTATTGGTTCGTATGCAACACTGGATAGGTGCCAGAATAGGCTACACTGGGGTACAGCTTTGTATATAAAATTGCATAACCACCCGCACACAAAGACCAGAGACGGGCTGACCCCAGAGCAACACCACCCACCAGCACACAGATGGGGGAACCCAGTAGGGAGTCCGTTAATTGGGATGCCCTCAGGGAGGACACGGGCCCTCCATACCGCTTTCAGGGAGGGAGGAACGGCACCACGGGGCCACACTGGTGCACGCGGGGGAAGGGGTTGGGGGGAGGCTGAGTGGGGGGGTCCAGGGGCGTACCTAGAGCATTTGGCACCCGGGTCGGATCCTGTGCTCGGCACTCCGCGCCCCCCCCCACCCAAAAAAAAGGTTTTCTTTCTTTTTTTTTACAATTTGTAAACTTTGCAAAACCGCTGTCAGCCCCAGTAAAGTTTGCCGCCCCCCCCATGTGACATCACAATGCCCCACCCATATGATTTGCCATGTTAACTAACGCCAGTGCTGCAGTGCCGCCATGTTTACATTAAAAGGCCTGCAGGGACAGGCTATAGACACCAGAACCACTACATTAAGCTGAAGTGGTTCTGGGGACTATAGTGTTTCTTTAATGTGAGGTAAATTAGAGCTTAGTGCCACGAATAATATACTAGATTGCCTACTTACAACCAGATAAGGATGATGATGGGCTCTAGCTGCAGTCTGGCTCCACTGGTCTGGTGCAGAACAGGCTCTCTGGAGGCGGTTTGTAACTGTGGTCACAAAAATCAATGTTCTGGGAGAACGGGAAGCAGCTCCATTTTTTGGGGGTCCTTTACACAGCTCAAGGTCTGGGTCCCAGGGTCCACCTTCATGTTCCACCAATGAGTTTGTTCACAGGGGGTGGAGTGTGTAAGGGATGTCCTGATATGTGTGTAAGGAATGCATTGTGTGAAATTGTGTTTGTATGTGTAAGGACTGCAAGGTGTGTTTCTGTGTATGTATGGGATGCATTGAATGTGTGTAAGGGGTGCATTGAGTGTGTGTAATGAATGCATTGTGTGTTTCTGTGTGTGTAAGGGATGCATTGTGTGTAACGGTTGCATTGCTTGTGTATGTGTGTCTGTGTGTGTAATGTATTGTGTGTTTTTCTGTGTGCAAGGGGTGCATTGTGTGTATGTGATGAATGTCAATCTCTCCTCCCGCTCCAATTTCCTTCTCCTCCTCCCAATTTCTCTTTCTCCCCCCCTCCTCCCAATTTCTCTTTCTCCCCCCCTCCTCCTAATTTCTCTCCCCCCTCCTAATTTCTCTTTC